CCGGTCCCCGTCCCCGTACAGCCTGATATGCCCTGGGCCCTGCACACCCCAACGGATGGCTCTGGGTGCATCAATATATTGGAGTCATATCAAATCACCACTGATAGAAAGAAAATTGACAGTATCCGCTCTTTTTTGCTGATATAGCCAATAATGTACCAATAAATAAAATATGCCTTTTGGCCAGAGCCCCCAGATGCCGCGTGCATGTGCACAGCCACAGCATGCACATGGCCAGGAGCAGAGCTGGGCACTGTAGAGACCATCACCCTGTAGGTAAGTCTGTAGAGAGGAAGGGGCATAGGGGTAGGGAAGGGGTGTGGTGTGGAGGGCAGATCAAGGCCCTCACAGTGAGGGAGGGAGTGGGATTACGGATGAACCTGGGGCTGGGGGTGCTGCCCAGCAAGGCCAGTGAGTGGGACCCCAGGGTAGGGAGCAGGATGGAGCTGTGGGCGGTTTGTCCAGGGTGTGTGGGGAGAGGCATGGGGAGGGACATGTACCTCCCCAGATTTGTACACGGGGCAGAGGCAAGATGTCTGCTGTGGACTTAAGGTTTCACCCCCTGCTGCCTTTGTCCCATGAGCCGCGCGTCCCCTGCCCATTCAGTGGCAGTAGGGGCAGCGAATTGTGCGCTTGGCCAGTTCATGGCTCCCAAGGCAAAGACAGCAGGGTGGAAAGCCCCGAGCCTACAGTGGGCAGCCTGCCTCCACCCACGCTCCCCTCAGCTCCTCTCCTAAAAGCATCCCCATCTTAAAAGTGGTACTTGCACTAAAGCTCATTTGACGAGCTTTAGTTCAAGCAGCCACGCCGCCATTTTTAAACGCTGAGACTCTGATCCCCTGGACGAGCCACCCGCAGCTCTGTCCCACTCCCTGCCCCAGCCCCAGGGTCCCATTCACTAACCTAGCTGGGCAGTGCCCCCCAACCCCAGCCTGCCCCTGCCCTACGCCCTCCCTCATTGTAGGGGCCTTGATCTGCTCCCCTTATGCCCCTTCCCCTCCACAGACTTACCTGCAGGGAGCTGCTCTCTACACTGCCCAGCTTTTTTCCTGTAAATTGCTATTGGATTGGTATCAGCCAGCATGCCTGGTGAATAATTAGGCATTGTGAAAATGTGATCCTTTTAAAGTATCAAGTTACTGGGACTTTTCTATTATTTTATTTTTGTTATATGCAAAGTCATGACTGCTTGTCCCTAAGGTCCCCTGTACATGTTACAGGTATCGTGCAGTTAACTAGTTAATTGTCCAATTACCTGGAGACCAGCTACATGTACAAAGTAGCTATCACAATAGAAAGCTCCAACCAGCTCTAAAGCTAGATCTTGAAAATATATACTAACTTTATAGCTGGTTGTTATTGGGCTTTTTTACACATGTAGCAGGGTCGTCCCTATGGCTGGGAGCCCCATCAGCTGATGGGGCTCCCACCTGCAGGGGTGCACCATGCCCAGTGTAAAACCCCCAAGCCCAAGGGGTCATGGCAGCCACAATCCCCATGGTCCGGGGTTTGCATGAAACCCCAAGACCCCAAGGATCAGAGCTGTCATTATCCCTTGGACTCAGAGATGTGTGAAATGTCTAGATTGTGGGGACTGTGGTTGCTGTGACCCCTAGGCTTCTAGAGTGCCGGAAATCCCTGAGGCCAGAAGATCGCCACCCCTGAAGCAGTTTCCCGCACCCCTGGGGTGGGAAGATAACCACAGCAGTAATCTTCCAGTCCTGGGAGTGCATAGGCCACCCTGTGGCTGGGAACTCCTCAACTGGGGGGCTCCCAGCAACAGGATTGGTCTCATGATTGGTCTCCCCCTGCAGCAGCAATAAGGTACAGTGGGATTTAACGCACGATCCCAGAGTCATGCTTCCTGCATGGCAGGAGGTATGATTGTGTGAATCACGCATTAGATCTCTTTGCGCCTTTATCCGCACATACAGAGGAGACCTAAGTAACTATTTTCTCTGTGATGACTTCCTCTCTTATTTATGAAATGTTTATAGAATTCCCCCAGGTTGGATTAAAAAATTCTAAAGTTAATAATCTGTAATTAAAAATTCCAAGAATGATTTCATATTAACAGTAGTGGAACTGTGCTAGGTTTCCCCCCCCCGCTCCCTTCCTACACATTATAAATAGGTGCTCAAGGAGCTTGTCTCACATGCTCTAGTGTGATGAGTAGCTAAGAAGATCATTTGTTTCCAAGTTTTCAATTACTCAAATAGCAGTACCATATTTAACACACATTGTACACACACAAGGCTATCACCTTGTTTTTTAGAATGCAGAATGAAAAGAAAAAAGGTTTTTCCAGAGTTGTGGCTGCATAGAGCAGAGACAAAGCTTAATTTTCAATGTGTTCTCACTTCCTTTCCTTCTCAGACAAAAGCTGCAGCCCTAATTGCAGCTGAAGATTGGTCTCTATGGGTGGATCTGTGATTTTGAAAAGAACTAAAAATAGGGCTGCAAAATAGAAAAAAAGAAACCAGGGTAGTTAGTGTACAGCAAAATTGCCTAAAGAAGCATTAGTTTTATTAGTGGAACATCAAGACCATTAAAAGTCATTTTGTTGACTTTTATATTTCATCCATACAGTTTTAAATAAAAATACCAAACAGCTCAATATGTATGCATTTGTTTTAACTTACAGGATGGAGGTCTGCTTCTGAATAATCCTTCTGCTTTAGCTATCCAAGAGTGCAAGTGTCTTTGGCCAGATGTGCCGCTGCAGTGTTTAATCTCATTGGGTACTGGCCGATATGAAAGTGTGGGGAAGAACAATGTCACATACACAAGTTTGAAAACCAAACTTTCACATGTTATCAGCAGTGCAACTGATACCGAAGGTTAGTGTTTAATCATTTATCTCTTCGTGTTTACATTAACCATTTTTAATTGTTTTTTTGGACATCAAATTTCATCAGTCAAAATTCAGTAAACGAAAAAAGGTATACAATAGAGAAAATGTAAATATACCTTACATACTCAAAGTAATATCAAAGTGCTTTTATTTCAGTCTAGGGAGCATTTTATCAGTTTTTTTTCCACATTTGCTAATCATTTTATCTGCCATTCATGGTGAATTTCAGATTGTTTAGATCAAAACCAAAGTAAATTTAGTTTAACAAAATCAAAGTAGACAAAAGCAGTAACATTTTTATTTAAATGCTGAATGTGTTAGTAATATATTTTCACCAAATCACAAAAGTTGTCTTGTTGTCTTGTTTTAGGTGTATATTTTACCTATCTGATTGCATTTTTTTTAGTTATTAATATTATGGCAGTGTACTGGCTGATGATGTTGCTAAGGAGAAATGCATTTAAATTATATCCATGAGCTTGCACATTGATTATACTATTATGAAGTTCTCCTTAAAGGATGAATATCCAACAGTGAACATACTCTTGATGACATACATTAGGGACAAAGAGACATAAAAAATGTATACAGATTTTAATAATTAGAGCAAGAATGAAGCTGAGAAAGGGAGTAATCAACAGTGTTTCTGAGGGTTTTCTTTTTAATATAATTACTGCTTCATAATGCATGTAGATTTCTGTATGACTGTTGCCTCCATTTTTTCACAAAAAAAATTGAAGAAGTTGATTCAGAACATTTGTTTGTTCCTGACATACTTTATGGACAACCTATTTTGTTTGTGTCTTTTCTGTGTGTTCTGATGCACTGTTCCCTACGATTGACAAGATTGTGTGTCTGTGATACACTGCCTGTGAATGTGTCTTCTAATGATGTCATTGGGAGGAAGTACACACACCTAACAACAAAATCTGGCCCTTGCATGGGAACATGCTGAAATAGCTTAATTAACTGTTTATACCCCTGGAAATGAGGATGTTCAGAACAATGCTCAGTTTTAGGAGCAAAACTGAACTGATTTTTCTTAGGAGCTTGATTTGCTGCAACATGATACTTTGGTTTAAAAAGTACCTGTGCTTTCTAAAAGTGCGGCTCAGGTCCACATATAAAGAAGGCAGCAAAAGGAAACTGTTCACTAAAGATAGTTGCATTTTATGTGTTAGTTTTACTCTGTTGCTTAGCTGTGTGGAATGGGGAGGTAGAGTGGTAGCTGAGCTGATGATCATTTATTGGAATAGAAAAGAAAACCGAACTAAGACTATGTCTTAAGCATAAATTTGCCATGTCCTGCTGTGGCAGTCAAAAATACTGTGGTTGCTCCATGCGTTTTGTGGGCATGCCACTAGTGCTAGGGGCAGACTAGTTAGCAAGTTGGTAGTGGAGAAGTCAAATGAGATACTTGATTGGAAGGAAGGATAAACTGAAGATCATTGAGGGAGACAGAAGGAAAGGATTTGACAAGAAGGGTTGAGTAGAGAATAACTAGAAAAAGGATCATGCCAAGTAACTCTAGGGTGGAGGGAGACGGTGAATAGAGGCCAGGTTGGTTAGTGGCAAGGAAACAAGAGACGTCTAACCAAGTTATAGACAAGAGGAAGGATCAAGCTGAGGAGATTCTCACAGAAATGTGTTAAAATCCTTTTCATATTTTTTTGCAGGTTTGGCTGAGTTATTTCTATTTTTTTAAGTTTGTATATAAAAGCAGAAAAAGTTTGTAAGTAAAAGAATGAGGAAAGTAGGAGTAAGGAATCAAAGGGGAAAAGTGCAGATGGAGAAAAGGGAAGAAGGAAATAAAGGAGAAAGGTAGAAATGAAAGGATTGAGCAAAGAGACAAAAGGGAAGAATCCAAAATTGAGGGAGAGAAAAAAAAGGTAATAAAGGAACAAAGAAAGAAAAAAATAGTGCCTAAAGGTATGGAGGATGATGGAAAAGAAAATTGAAATGTATTTAAATACATTGCAGAGTTGGCCAGTTTATCAGATTTCTACAGTTTTACTGTACATGTAAAATCTAGCAAACGTGAATAAGAGCATAGGAGTGGCATTTGGTAACAGAATATTTATTATGTAAATACAAATATTTGAAATTCTGCTGTTTGGAGGCCACTTTCTCACCAGCAGGAGACTTAAAGCACACACTTGAACTAAACACCTGGTACAGCCCAGCTGTCTACAGAATATTTCTAGTTACTGTGCCAAATAAAACTGGAAGATAAAACTCTTATTTTGACTCTTATAAAAGAAGATGAATTTGAATCGGCTGATACTGTGGAACTTTATTGCACTCAAGCTAGCTGCAAGCAGTCAAGGTTCTTGTGACATTTCAAAAACACCTGAGATCAAAGTGAGACGGCTCCTCTGTGTAACCAGTCCAGTGTGAGAAGCAGTTAGGAGATAGGAAGCAAGTCCTTGAAAGTACTTTACTGCAGACTGTACCAATTTAGTACATTTTGATGAGCTATTGATTTAATTTAGAGCCAGTGCAGGTATTCATAGATTTAGAAGGCTGCTAAATTTATGAAGCATATTATGATACTGACAAAGACCATGACCCATCCCTCACATTTAGTACAGTGGGCAGTGATTTAAAAAAAAAAGGAATAAATTATGCAGGTATGGAAAGGAAGGTGAGTTCTTATGAAGCTAACTAGGCAGCAAAGCTTAGAGATTTATCATGCAAGCAAAATGTCTAGAACTGATGTGTTAACTGTCTAAAGAAAAGTGCAAAAGTATAATATTTTACTATCTTTTTTTATAAAACCAGAAGTCCATGCTATGCTGGATGCCCTGTTACCTGCAGACACATATTTCAGATTCAACCCTCTTATGAATGAAGACATACCTCTGGATGAAAATCGTAAAGAAAAGCTCAGTCAGTTACAGACAGATGGGATTCGATATTTAGAACGAAATGAAGAAAAACTGAAAAAAGCTGCCAAAATATTAACACAAGAAAGAACAACTTTGCAGAGATTCAGTGACTGGCTAAGATTAAAGACTGATATGTATGAAGACCTTCCATTTCTTTCCAAATTGTGAATATATAATGCTTGAGGGTTATAAATATAAAGCTTGTTTCAGAAAATCCATCCACTACTCTAAGGGATCAGTGCATATAGTTATATAATTACATTGGGATGACTGTCTGAAATCAGTTCTCGGGCTGTCTTGCACACATTCTTGGAATAAGGTCTTATGATGTTAATTATTTTTTGAGTTTTAGAAACCTTACTATTGTATTATTTTTTGTACATTACTGGTGGTTTTTTGGTTGTCTGTGTAGAGTATTTTAATTTAAGTTTTGTTAATTTGTGCCAACTAAGATTGACAATTATGAGAAACAGATGTTCCATACATTTTTGGAAGTGCGTACCATAATCATGTTGACATTAAAGCCTAACATATTTACCAATTACAGGGCTCTTTCAAAATTTAAAAAATATATATTGTGGGTTCTACAATATACACTTCAAGCTGTTTTACTGCCACTGAGTAACAATCTTATCAAACATAGAACTTGGGCCAAGAAAAAGCACTTTTGCATTTGAAAATGTTAAAATAATTCATTTTTGACACATCTTTTTGTGTATAACAAAATTAAATGTATTCCTGTAAAATGTTTGGGTGAGTATAATAACATATAAAACACTCAATCTACCAATATTTTTCTGTAATTTTAAGATAGGCTGTACTGTAACTTTTATAGGTTCAATGCCAAATTAATATTAATCATTTGAAAATAAGTCAATGCTTCATTCAAATAAGTATTCCTGTCATATAAAGGAAATAAATTCTTGATGTAGCTCGCTTGTCATGCTGGAAACTTTCTTTTAAGTTATTGCAATGTATACCTGTATTGCATGCCAGTCATTAGAAACTAGCATATAGAGAAAGTGTATAAAGTTGATGCATTTCAAATGAAACATGAATTATTCATTGTGCCTTGAATTCTATATGTGGGTTCTCCCAATATTTGATTAATATTATTGTGGGAGTTTTATAGAGCTTAAAATATTTTGAAAAGTAACCATTTGTTCTTACTATATCCAATTTGGTGGCTTATTCCACAAGCCGTAGTTCTGTCACAACACTGAGAATACTCTCAAGAGTAGGTAATTGATGTATTAATAGGTAGCCAATAGAAACCATGGGATACATCCTATTACCATTTGATGGTCTAAATCAGGGGTGGGCAAAATACGGCCCGTGGGCCGGATTCAGCCCGCGAGGCCATTCTATCCAGCCCGCGGGGCCCCTAAAAAAAATGTAGAAAATTAATATTTCTCTGCCCTTGGTTCCTATCAAAAATGCAGGAACCAAGGGCAGTAGGACCCAGAGGAAGCCTGGCAGGCTCCAACAACAGCGGGTCCGCCTGGCCTGCCCCCCAGCTGGAAGCCACAGCCAGGGTTTCTGGGCTGGGAGCATGTGGCTGCCCTGGCACAGGAAGCTAAGGTAAGTGGGGGCGGGGGGCCCCCAGGCAGGGAAGGAGCAGGGTGGGGGAAGGGGCCCCTTCCCATGCCCAGTGCCCCATGCAGGCTGCGAGCGCCTTCAGTGTGGGGCACCGGGCATGGGAGGGGCTGCTTCACCCTCTCGCGCTCAGCTTTTCCCCAGGCTCCTTCCCTGCGCGGAGAAAAGCGGCCCCTCGCCTGCCCCATGGCTGTCGCCCTGCACTGCAGGCACTTGCAGCCCACACGGAGCTGTCTGGAGCAGGCACAAGCAGCCCCAGGCCGGCTGCAAGCAGCTGCAGCACGGGGCGCCAGGCATGGGGCAGGTGAGGGGGTGGGGTGGGTGAATTGGAGCCTCCAGGCTGGCAGTGGGGCGGGTTACAAGGTGGTGCTGAGCGCGGGGGAAAGCGGCTCCTCGCCTGCCCCATGGCCAGCACCCCACGCTGCAGCCCACATGAGGCTGCCTGTGCCTGCTCCAGACAGCCCTGTGCGGGCTGCGAGCACCTGTAGCAAGGAGCATCAGCCATGGGGCAGCTGAGGCGCCACTTTTCCCTGTGCTCAGCACCAGCTTCTTCCCTGCCAGTGGGCAGGGGGTCGGGGCTGTGCGCTGCCCGCCGCCTGTACCACGGGGCTAGGGGGCACGGTGTGAGCAGGTGGGGAGCCAGCAGGAAGAACAGGGCCCACACTTGTCCAAGCGCCCGTGCCAGTGGGGCCAAGAGCAAGGTGGCAGGAGCCTGAGATCCTGGCCGGCAGGGGGCTCTATGGAGCCAGGCCAGCTCCCCCCTCTCCCTACTGGTGCAGCCCATCCTGGCTCCACAGACCCCTGCCAGCCCGCATCCTGCTCTGGGCCCCACCAGTGCTGGCTCTGGGACATTGGTCCCAAGCTGGTGACCAGGGGCCGGGGCACCTGTCAAGGGGTGGGGCTACCCATGTGGCCCTTGACAGCCTGCCAAAACTGGGTAAGCAGCCCCCTGCCCAAAATAATTGCCCGCCCTTGGTCTAGATTCTGTATCATTAGATTTTCTCGATCATTAGTCATAACAACAACAACAAAGATAGCCACATAGAAATGGAATATCACCCTTACATGACCAAATGGTAATAGAATGTCACTCCAGGGTGCAGATGGAAGTGCAGCTCCCAGCTGTAACTCTGAGCTATTTTTGCAAAGCGTTCTGAGTTGCGACATTACCCCAGACCAAGCAGAAGTTCACTGTTTGTTCCAGGGGAGAGGGGAATGTAGCTGTGGCTGGGAGGGAGTCCACAGCCAGGTTCCCATAGCAATGGCTGGGCGCTCTGCCAGTGCTCGCTGTTTTCAGAATGGGAGAGGGGAAAGGCAGCGGGGGAAGCTCATTCTTGGGGCTCCCCAGCTGGTGCTGGAGGGTGGGGTGGGTGAATTGGAGCCTCCAAACCACCAGACTGAACTCCCTCTGTTCCCTCCCCTCCCCCACTCCCCCATTCTGAAAACAGCCACAGGCTGGGAGCGGGGCAGACAAAAGTTACAAAAGATGCTACTTTTTTAACGTTTTTATTTGATTCTTCATGCAATGAGGGGACAGATTTTTCACTCAGCCATTTTTAAGCTGTTTGCAGCTGTGCACTTGTGTTTGGTCATAGCTATAAACTGCTTTCTGTGGCCAGATCAGGTGAAAATTGTCACTTGTCTGCACTGTCTCATGATTCCAATGAAACTAGATGGTTTTGAAAGTCCCATGGGTAGGCTCTTACTGTATCGTTATGGATGCAAATACTTTACAAATCTGGCCCTTGTTCTTGGACTCATGCTCATTTCCATAGCCTCAGTGGCTCCAGAGGGATTATTCATTTCAATAAGATTTCAAGGTCAATTCTTGTCTTCTTTGGTATTGGCTGTAGTTAAAATAGGTAACGCTCATAAAAAATATTTTACATACATTTCATGCATCATACAGTGGGTCAAAATGCAGTTTCATAACATATGCATAGCATAGATGCATTTTGGGAGCTCTTTTACAGTTATTGGCAGCTGCATTAGCCTAAAAGCAGTGTTTCTTGGGGAGTAACTTAGGTATTCAAATCAGGAAGAAGCAGCCACTACTGAGAGCCTGATATCATCTGAATTGCAAAATCATAAGAAATTAGGGCTGGAAGAGGCCTCAAGGAGTCGTCTGATCCAGCAACCTGCTCAAGGCAAGATCATCCCTATCTAAGCCATCCAGTAAAAGTGTTTGTCTAACCTATTCCCATTACTAAATGAACAGCCCTCATCCACAACTATTAGGCATGGTGCTTGGAAGCATTGGGAACACCCTAACTTGCTACTGGTAAAGCAGAGGAATGAGGGGTCGGTCCTGTCACTGCAATGGTAGGAAGTAGTTAGTTAAAATACACCTGAGATTTTCGAGGAAGAGGCCTGTGCCTCCCACTATGAGATAGTGGAAAGCATGACATTTTAATGTGAATTGTCACCTCTGTTTGACCTACTCATCTTCCCAGAGGGGTAGTAGAGCAGGTCCAGGCCCAGGCCCAGGGCAGCTGCCAACAAGCAAGACATTTCTGACTCCCACCATGCTGATTGCGGCAGTGTCAGTTGTCAGTGCAGTGACAGCTACTGCTGTTTTGAATGCCTCCTCCCCTTCCTTCTTCCCTCCATTACACAAAGGTAGCCCCAATCACCACCCCTCCTCAGTTACATTGTTGCTTCTTCCTTCATGTATTAAGCCTGTTCAAGGCTGCCTTAGTTCCCAGATTTTTTTCTGCTGGATCTGGTACTGAGTTTCTATACATTTATGGAAGCATATCATACAATTAACAAGTAAAACTTCAATAGTCATTTGAACAAATCCACAGAATTTCAAGTTATCTTGCTAAGTCACTGGTGCTTAACCTATGGCCTGCAGGATAGATTTGGCTCATGAAGCCATGTCATCCAGACTGCATTCAGTAGAAATTTGGCAGGAGGGAAGCAGTAGAGGTGCTAATTGCTAGAGCCACAGTAGAGTCCCAGAGCTGCAATTAATGTTTCCACCACTCCCCCACCACCAAATTTCTGGATGTCTGGGCAGTTCCATAGGCTGGAAGATGTGGCCCCATGTGCCAATGCATAGGGTCAGGCCATGGCTGGATCTGGCAAGCGGGGTTGGTATGCATGATCACTCTGGCTGGATGCGACACTCGGAGTTAGGCCGGGTGCCAGATCGCACCCATGGACCAACCCCAAGTGCTGACCCCATGCTAGATCCTGCCTGTGGACCAGTCCAGCACCACTCATTTTGGCCCATGGGATCAGAGAGGTTGAGTACCACTGTTCTAAATATGAATAATGGGGTAGTAGTTCATAAATAAGCTGCCAACAAAATTTCCATTAAAAATATATTTATTTAGTACAGTGCTTTGGTTTTTGTAATTAACTTTTGGGATAACTAATAAATATGTTCCAGGTGGACAAATGAGGCTCTGACTTTCCTGAGATCCATTAAATTATAGCTGACAACAGTATTTTTAACTCCTCTGATGGATTTCTGCCATAGGAAACCCCCAAGTTACCTGTGGAGGACTTTCTAGGATGGACCAGTTTCATGGCTTGTAACTTTAACTCACCTGGATGTAATGTATTTGTAACAACTGCTGGTACAGCACATCTGTGTACCACTTAGCCCAACAGAATGGTGCATGGATTTAGTGTTAGACCTGCTTAAAGAGCTGAATTTCATGCCCTCTGTATGGAAACAAGTCAGTTCAGAGGTAACTCTGAACCCTTGGGATGGAGAAGGCTTGTGTCAAGTTAGGTGGATAAATAGCCACAATTCCCAGTGTCAAGCAGCTCTTCCATCCGGGGACTGGAAAGGTCAAAATAGAAGATTTTATCTTAAACAAGTGAATTCAAGGTCATATACATAGAGTTTGGCAGGGGAGGCTTTGTTCAGCTCTAAATTAAAATTAAGAGAAGGGTCTGAGTCAAGTTTCTATGTATTGTTAACATTTTGTATAATGTTTTCTTGATCTAAATATTGCTCCCAGTGCCGCTTTTACTTCAGCTGGAACAGGAGCCAGATTTATTATGTAAAATCGTTTCTGGTACTAGTCATTATTTATTCTTTATTTACAATGCTTTTTTCCTCTATTCTTTACTGCTGTAATATTTATTATTTACCTTATCTTTAGTTCTCTCTCAGGTGTACTACCATAAATTATACATAAAATTGAGCTGAGCTTCAGAGAATTAATTAGTTCAGATTGCATGTAATGGCCTAAAACACTAAACTGAACGTTTTGAATCCTTTCACACTAAACACCTTGATCCTTGATACCAAAAACACTGCACAGTCTATCAGATACTAATTGGGAGTAAACCTCCCATCTGGATGAACTGAAAATGTGCAAGTGCAAAAGACTGGTATTAACACTGGTTGTGGTTACTTATTTAGTTACTTACAGGAAAATGTTAGCAGTTCATAGGAAAGCTTCTCTGCTGGGGGTACATTCCTACAACATTTGCCATAGATTATATTTCCAGGAAGGACACAATTGGATAGATCCATGTGGTATAAAGATACTAGAGCAAGGGTGGGCAAAATGTGGCCCAC